CCCCAAAACCCCAAAACCCCAAAACCCCAAAACCCCTTCAAAACCCAACTAAATGAAAATTTAAATATTTGTGCAATTTAGAAATGGCTTCACTTGAAGGGATACAATCTAAGACACAAGAGATCAGGGACCTGACCAGGATGGAAAGGACTGGTGCCCAGTCACATATTAGAGGACTAGGGCTTGATGACTCGTTAGAGCCCAGAAAGATCTCACAAGGAATGGTAGGGCAGATTGAGGCGAGAAGAGCAGCAGGAATTATCATGAAAATGATTACTCAAGGTAAAATCGCGGGAAGAGCTATTCTGATCGGTGGACAACCAGGAACTGGTAAAACAGCAATAGCTCTTGGTATGGCTAAATCTCTTGGAGAGGATGTGCCATTCACAATGTTGGCAGGATCTGAGATTTTCTCACTTGAGATGTCCAAAACTGAGGCTCTCATCCAAGCATTCCGTAAATCCATCGGTGTAAGAATCAGGGAAGAGGCTGAGATCATTGAGGGAGAAGTTCTAGAGATTGAGATAGATAAGTCAGTCCAAAGCGGTGCCAAATCAGGAAAAATCACCCTCAAAACGACTGACATGGAAGCTATTTACGATTTAGGGCAAAAGATGATAGAATCGATTCAAAAAGAAAAAATCCAAGCAGGAGATATCATTACTATTGATAAGGCATCTGGAAAGATTTCCAAGCTTGGAAGATCAATTGCCAGAAGTGGAGATTACGATACTGTTGGCTCCTCTTCAAGATTCGTCCAATGTCCAGAAGGTGAGCTCCACAAGAGAAAAGAAGTTGTGCACACTGTCACTCTCCATGAGGTTGATGTAATCAATTCAAGAACTCAAGGATTCATGGCACTCTTTGCAGGAGATATTGGAGAAATCAAACAAGAGGTCAGAGATCAGATTGATACCAAAGTTTCTGAATGGAGGGAAGAAGGAAGAGCCGAAATAGTTCCCGGAGTATTGTTCATCGATGAGGTCCATATGCTCGACATTGAATGCTTTTCCTATCTCAATAGAGCTCTTGAAAGCGAGTCTGCTCCCATCGTAATCATGGCCACTAATAGAGGAATGACAAAGATCAGAGGCACAAACTATATGGCTCCTCACGGTATTCCTCTAGATCTTCTGGACAGACTGCTGATTATCCAAACCACTCCTTACAATGAGAAAGAGACACAGCAAATCTTACAGATCAGGTGCCAAGAAGAGGATGTTGAGATCAGTGATAAAGCTTTGAAACTACTCACTAAGATCGGGATGGAGACATCTCTCCGTTACTCGATCCACCTAATAACAACTGCTAACCTTGTGGCTATCAAAAGGAAGAGCCCTGAGGTTGATGTTGAGGATGTGAGAAGAGTCTATGGCCTCTTCATTGATATCAAAAGAAGCTCAAAGTTCCTCCAAGATTACCAAAGCGAGTTCCTCTTCTACGAAGCAGATGACATTGATGATAAAGATGTCGAGATGGCTTAAAGCTAGCATTATTCTTTCAGTAATTCTTCAGAAGGTACATTCGAGAATAAACTGGAAAATCTGTATTCAATAAATTCAAATAAATAGGGGTTTTGGGGTTTTGGGGTTTTGGGGTTTTGGGG